CCCCAAAACCCCAAAACCCCAAAACCCCAAAACCCCAAAACCCCTATAATTGATTTACTTATTGAATTGCTACCAAAATGATTTCTCCTTACATCTCACTTCAGGGTAAATTCCAATTATTCCAGAGGTCTTTCAGGTTCTTTTGCTCCAAAATAATGAAAGAAGAATGGCACTAGCGGTTCTGGCTTTCCTCACTTCTGCAAGAGTATTACAGGGTGCTCTTTACTCAATAATTTAGAGACCATTCCTAAGATTTTATAAGGAATGTACCTTTAACTTTTCTTCTTAGTTGACTATTTCCTCTCCTTTTCTTTTGAGGTAGTTTTGTGGTAATTGGGTTCTGATGTCAGCTTTTTGATCTTCCTTTCTTGCAATTCTTAGGCTTATGAGCTTCTTTAGGTTCAATCTTCTTCTTCATCCTCCTTTTTGGAGGGTTCCTATATTAATCAGATAGAAGAGGATATGAGACATTTATATGCCATAATGAAATTTCTTCTCAAAATTCTTAGTTGATCTTAGCAACTGAGAAGCTGATTTCATTACCATTCTCTCGTCTTATTTAAAATATGACTAACTGGTTTTTAGCATCAACAAAAGAGCCATAGTGGTTATTATGCAAATTTTAGTTTAAATTCCATCATCTGTAACCTTAGCGATCAAAATAGAGCTTATTTTTCAATATATCACAGAGTTTTTGATACTAGAAGTCGTTTGCTTCTTAGGGAGTTTCGAATTGAACATGACAACAATATTACAGATTATCAAATCGGCTATTTAAACTACTCTGAAAATTTGAAGTAAAAATTGATACTGAATTAGTGGAAAATGTGATTCTTTTATGCAAAGCTGTTTTTATTTAGATTAATATCAGTGAGAAAGTTCTCGAAAGTAGACTTATACTAATCTTCAGTAGGGTAACTAAAAAGTATCAGCAGTATACAAATTCTTTAAGTCTCAAAGCTATACAGCGCTAAAAAAATCTATCGTATTTCTCTTCTTAAAACTTGAGCCTATGAGTGAAAAAAATTAATTCAAAAGAATTTAGCGATAAGAGCTTCAGCTTGCATTCAAGCCATAACTAAACTTATAGTGGGACGGTTTACTCCAGATCATAAGGAGACAATACTCAGGACATTAATCTAAGAAAATTAGTACCAAGTCCTCCTATATTTCTCCGCTATATCAAAATTTCTCCATAAAATTAGTGGACTGAATGGAAGACTAAGCCTTAACATTGTAAAGTTGAGATCTAAAGCCTGAACTATAATAAGCAGCATATAAGCTATCAATGGAATATAGAAAACAGAGTCTGAGTTGTGCACTGAGAAAGTCATGATTGTGGCAAAGATTGATATAGACACAGGAGGGGCTCTTGATATAGACATACTGAAGCGAGATGCACCTAACTGAGTGTATTATGTCATTAATAGGTTCATAACTTACTGCTTTTTGGCTGGAGTATTGGGTTTGGACGGAACTTTAGTTTCTTCCTTCTGACAACTAAATTCTTCAATACTTTTCAGTAAGGAAGTCCTTAACTTCTGTGGTATATTTTTGTCTGAATTTTCATCATTCTTCTCCTTTGTTATTGTGCATTTTCTTGAATCTTGTGAGGTTGTCTCTATTGTAGCCTTAGAAATTTGCTTTATCAAAGAAATAAGCTTACCTTGAGTAACCTTGTCAAGCATCTTAGCTACTCTTTTCTACAAATATGATACCTAGACTACCTTTTTACCCTTTAATAGACTTTTTACGACCTCTCCTCTCGATCTTCTTCGAAGAAACTTGTTGTAAAGGTATCTATAGGGTTAACTAAGCCATACAGAAGCCTTCTTCTGAGAATCTGCTTCTTTAAAGATCTTTTCTAGTTTTTTGATAGTCCCTCTTGTCATCATTTGGAGTAAATTTTAACAATATTTATAATAAGAGAGGGGTTTTGGGGTTTTGGGGTTTTGGGG